TGATCTTGACACTAAGAAAGGAATGTCAAAAACTATTGGCAATCAAGTTCTAGAAGAGATGAGATGAAGAACAAAATTAAATGTCAAACAAATCTCTCATGACATCTGCAAGAACTATGAACCTCATAAAAAAGACAAAAGTGTTCAATATTATGAGTGTCAATAAATTGAATAGTTTAGTGCAAAATGCTCAACATATCTTGAGAAATTGCAAAAGGGAATAACTAGTCCATGGACTAAGGATGACTCTGAAGGAGGAAAGGATAGTGAAGACACCAAGCTTGTTAAAGCCTTTTCTGGGAAATGTGATTCTGTAGGAGGAAAAAAGATGTCGTATGAAGACCTAGCTCCCGTGTACAAAGACTTATGTGTCAAAATTGAAGAAGTGTGCAAGAAGGGTGAAAAATAAAAGCATGTCATAAGACAACTACAGGATGAGAAGAAGGAATTGCTTACTATAGTGTCTGATTTCTAGAGTGAAGTATCTCTAATGACCTCTAAGCTAGAATACATGACCAAGCCTGTTAGAATGTTAAATAATAGAACATATATGTTGGATGATATACTCAAAGTTGTAAGAGATGCTGGAAGTCCAACAGGAATTGGATATAACAAAAAGGAAAAATCTTCTATGTCTAGACATATCTATCTTGAAAAGAGAATTGATGCCTCAGTTACAAAGAGGAAGTTCCAACCCAAGAGATGTCCCCATTATGAAGCAATGTCATATAGGAGCCTTCCGTTATAGGCTGTATGGTTATCCTAAACCTTATAACAATCAAGTAAACAAGGCAAAAGGCAAGTGGAAAGTTAATGATATAAAGCTATATCTCATGGCTCATGGTTCTCTCAAGACTTCTACCAAAGAAGATTGGTATCTTGATAGAAAATGTGATAAGTTTAATATAATGAAGGAAATCATATTTAACAAGTTGTAGGAGGATTATCAAAGCTCAAGATTGAAGAGAGCAAAGTTTGTGATAAGTTCCAAATTAGGAGGGAAGTCAAGATGTCACATACCGAGTCACAACATCAGAATGCTTCCAAAGTTTTATAACTTTTTCATATGGACTTAATGGGACCAATACAGGCAGAAAGCCTGAGTGTAAAGAGGTATGCCTTTGTGGGTGTTGTTGATACTTCTAGTTTGAATGTTGTTGTTTCAAATGTTGTTGCCTCTGAAACTGTGAGTCTAGATAACCCTAAAGTAGAAGATACTCTAAGTCAGTCTAGTTTGAATGTTGTTGATAGAAGTGTTCATATGTCTCTCTCTAAGACTTTGGTTACTGTTCCTGAGTCTAATGTTGTGTCGGATGTTGCAACATCTCTGGCCCGACCTGATCATCCTGTCGAAACCACACAAGAAAAATTTCAGAGTAAGTCTTCTGAAAAATCTCATGAGAATGTGGCTGAAGATGATTTTGTTGGTGGTAAAAAAGATGATTCTGATGATACTAGTATGTCTGCTGAAGATAAAGAAGAGAGTGCTGGTGTGAAGAAGGATCAGTATATCGACATTGTCCATGTATATGGTCTACATTCTAATGATGAGCCTATAGGAAATAAACTAGCTCATGGTATTATTAAAATATTAAGAACAAAAAACGGAAGGTTGTTGTGCCTACAAGCAAGCCTTCTAAGGCATCCAAGAAAAATACTAAGGTTGAACCTGACAAAGGATGGAGCAAAGCTGTAGCCCCTGCTACCAAGAAAAAGTCATTGAAGAAAAAGGAAGTTCCCTCAAGTGACTCTGAGTATGATGTTGAACAAGATGTTCAAGACATCGCGCCTTCTAATGAGAAAGGTGTGGATCAAAGGTTATACATGAGTATGATTGGTAGTCTGCTGTATCTTATAGGTAGCAGACCTGACATCACTTAGGTTGTAGGAGTTTGTACTATATACCATGTTGAGCCTAAAATGAGCCACATTAATCAAGTGAAGAGGATCTTGAAATATATCAATGGTACTAGTGATTATGGAATGTTGTATTCTCATAGTTAAAATTCCATGATTGTAGGGCATTGTGATGCAGACCGGGCAGCTGAGGATGAGTATATTGCTGTAGGAAGCAGTTGCTCTCTATTTATTTGGATGAAACAAATGTTGAAGAAATATAATGACAAGTCAAATGTTATGAAATCACATTGTGAGGATCTGACTGTTATCAGATATTTCATTCAACATGGCTGGAACAAGAACCCTGAACAATATAATAAACTAATCAGGAATCTTGATGAAGGAAAAGTTATTATTTTGGAGCATGTGGACACTAAGGATCAACTGAATGTTATAGTTACTAAAGCCTTATATACGAATATACTTGAGAACATAAGCTGTAAGGTAAGAACTTGCACTATTAAGAAATTATAGCAATTACAGATGTGGAGGAATGCAAAAGATATTGCATTATTCCTTTGTTCTCTGAGGCATGATAGGCCTAAGAAAGTTGTCATTATTAAGGGATGGAACAAAGTATCTCTGCAAGATAGAAGGTCTGGTTTGAAGAAAACATATTTTAAGGATGTGGCAAGGGAATTGAGTGCCAATTCTTCTAAAGCATGTGACAACTTCAAGGAGCGTAGAAGGATTTTTGATAGGGGAAAATGTGGAAGATTACCTGAAGATTATTTAAATGTGTGTTTCCACCAGTACTTGTGCTTTATGCATTATGTTATTTATGCTTCCATATGTGTGATTACATCTGTTTATATTTACTCTATTTTCTTTTTGTCAACTTTTGGCTAAAAAGGGGGAGTAAAGTGTTATTTTGGTTGTTGTTTCTGATGTTAGATCAGATGTCATGACTTTATGTCATGTTTGTATTATTGCTTAGAAAGAGTAGTTATTTTTGTTGTTGGACTGTATGCAACTTTTTAGGAGTGCGCATGATAGTTTGTCATGCTTGTTGCTACTGTTGCTCATATGGAATCATTTGCTGTGTCTAGGAGAATGCATTATTCTCTATAGTAGGTTGTGGTGTTCAGGAGGAGTGTGTTTGTGCTAGTAATTATGTTTTTTTTTAAAGTGTGGTTCCACTGTATGAACTTGCATGAGAGTTCAAGTATTCATGTGTTTTTTGTTTTTGGTTTTCCCATTTAGGAGGAGTACTGATTATGTGTGATAGGGAGAGTGGTATACCTGTCTCTTTTGTTGCTGTAAGATTGTAGTCTGTACAAAGCTTACATGTTCGCATGTAGGTTGTGTTGGTTTGTGATGTCCGACCTAATTTCTTGACATTGTGTTGTCTCTATTGGTTTGACATCATTGTGGTTCTCGAGGTTCCTTGTTTTTGTTTTGTTTCGGTTGTGTGGCCTCTAACATGTGCTAAAGTTGTTTTAGCCAAAATTTGTCAAAGGAAGATATTGTAAGTCCTGTGGTTTTTTGGATTGGCTGCATTTTGGTAAAACAACATGTTGTTGGCCAGATGTTAAACCAGATGTTCTGCCATGACAGTCAGACATCATGATCTACATGACATTGTGCCATGTTCCAGGACATGTTACACCAGATAGATAGGGAATGTCTATTTTGGTATTTTTAGTGTGATTTTTGAGTGTGTTCTAATTCACACACGTGCGTTTTTCATAGGAGTATATTATGGAATTTTCTATTATGACAGATTCTGTTACTTTTCATAAAAAGGATCCTTGAACCTTTTTAGGAAAGTTTGTATTTTGCTTCTATTATTGTGCGGGATGATTTGCAGCCAGTTTATACTGATTGCTGCTATTTGTGCGCCTCAAGAAGCTCAAGTCTAGTAGGTCTGAAGGCTATTTAAAGTGAAGATCGAACCCTATTAAAGTAGAGAGCATAACGTGAAGAATCTTGGAAATAAGGATTAACCGTTGTTTTGATTGGTCTTTAGGGTTTTCTGCTTGTTAATTGTATATCACTCATGTATCTTCTGATGCATTGAGGTTGACTGATTGTTCATTATTCATTGTCCACTCTAAAACTTTTAAGCAAGAGTGTATTGTTCTTGATTGAAACTTTTAAGGAAGATCAAATATTGTCTTGGAAGTGTGCTACTTCTATTGTTTGTGGAATTGTTGATTGTCACCGGGATTGTGACTGATTAGAAAGTGAGAGGGGGATCTCATATTTAGAGGGCGTCCAGGTAGAAGTTGTACAAGGTAGGAATTAGACGAGAAGTTGTAAACGAGTGAGTTTAGTTTTGAACTAATACTATCATAGTGAATTTCCTTCCTGACTTGATAGCCTCTAGATGTAGGGTAGTTGCAGCTAACTGGATTAACAATTCTAATGTTGATTTTATTTTTCTGTCATTTAAATTTCTGCATCTTTGTTTGTGTGATCAATCTGTCTTGATCTCAATATTGTGACATCTGTCTCGACATGTAGTATCTGCGTGTCACTACTATCCACCTATTTATTAATTTTCACTCACCCTATTAAAACTTAGTTTTTATTTAGCTCTTTTTCCTTTTCTTTCTTCTCATATAATAACGAAACAATTAATTCTTAAATAATAATAACATAAATTGCCATGATACTTTCACTTTTTTCTTACGGCTCATTTCACTTATCTTATAGAGTAAACAAGTTCCATATATTGTGTAAAAATATCCATTGGAAAAAAGGTCCATATTTTTTAATAAATTAAAAAATTAGAACAAGGTACACAAGTTAGGCACTTCATTCATGGGTGTCAAAATTAAATAATTTCTAAAAGCAAGTAATGTCTAAAATTTCTAATATAAATGTTTTTATTGAGCCAATATTACAACAAATATACTGCTTTTATTGAGCCAATATTACAACAAATATACTGCTTTTATTGAGCCAATATTACAAAGAATGAGTTACAAAAGTGCAAAAAATGGTACGAAAACAATATAGCACATGGACCTATCTCCACCAACCTAGAGAAAGAAAGGTTAATGTGGGATGACAATGAAAATTTACATCATGTATATCATGCATGAGTTAAGAAACTTCTGTGAATGTACAAAAGAGAGCACAATTTTGCAGATTTATTATGTAGGCACAACCCCGTCAGAATCAGGCACTAACTTTGACACAAGCCAAAGAACCAACATTAACAACATGATGAGCTGAAAGAAAAAGTAACATGTCAGCTTGCATAATCTGCTCTGAATCATAAAAGTCTCCTCGGTTCTGTTTGGATCCTCATTACCTGCCACTTCAACCTTATTTAGAATCTGCACTTCACTGTCATGCATTGTTTGCATCATGTTTTTGATGGTCAGGTATTTGACCTCGGCTTCAATCTTTTGCCGAAGAAGACTCTCAAGCTCAGACTCCAGCTCTTTAAATTTTTCATCTAATAAACATATGGTGCTAGTAGATTCTTCCTTAGGAAACTCATCACAAGTAAGGGCTATTTCAAGTTCCGCAATCCAGGAATTCTTAAGGGCAAGCTCACCCTGCAATTCTTCTAACTGGCTTACCAAAATGTTCAGTTTTTCTGTCAAGCGCAGGCGCAGTACCCGAAGCTCCATGAAACTTGATGAAATTTGTTTACCAGGATGGCTAGATGAGCATGAGTCATGGAGTCTTTGATCAACAGAACTTGTTTCAACAACACTTGCTTCAGCAGCACTTCTAAACTCAGTTGAGTCATCGGGTGAGAAAAATTCATCCCCAATCTCCCTGAATTTTTTAATTTCTACAAGAGACACATATTAGTTACTAAGAGTTCACACACCACACCATTGAAGTTACTATTTTCAGGGGCCACAAATTTATTTTACCTTTCTTTTCATAAGTTTGTGAATCAATTACTTAAACAATGATAAAAATCAAGCTTACAAAAAAAGAAAAAAATACCATCATAAAAATCATCTTCACCTCATTTTGATAAGTTATTTTAGTAGAAGAAAATAACATTCTTTTTGGATGAAATTCACAACTATCCTTCAAACAAAAACAGTCACGTTCCCACACCACTAGTAACAAGGACACATCCTCTCTCCACAAAGACCTATTTTTTCACTATCAGAAACCTCTCACACTATTGTGCATCCCAACAGAGTTAAGCAGCTAGATATTAACAACCGCGATATGGGATGCAGCATATCTGTTCTTTATTCTGCCAAAACAGCAAACCGCAACGCAAATGTGGTCGAGGTCGCATTAACAGAAGTTCTCGGCAATATCAAGAATCGCAACATGGCAATTACCACGAATGCTATTTAAAATCATGTTACAATTCGCCTAAACTAAGCAACCAAATAAGCTAGCTACATAATATCTTCACATTATTATACTAAACAATTATCAATATCAAAATCCAAAGCTATCATGAGAATTAAAATATAGAAACCTTGTTGAAGTTCTCCCTCCAAAACCTTAAGAGTATGAACACACTCAGTCAAAGGATCCTCATCATCTTCATTTTCAGTCACGTGCTGAACCTCCGTGTCACGTGCATCACTATTCAAATCATCATCACTGTTCTCTGATTCAGGCACACTCAAATCCCTAGAATCCGAATTGCAACTTCTATTGATTCCATTCCCTACAGATTCCTCTCCGTCGCTACCAGAATCACCTCGCTTAGAATTTCTCTTCCATTTCTTTAACCTAACGGTTCTTTTTGATTGATTCGACGGCGAGGTTTCGTCGGTGCAGGAACCACCGTCGTCATTCTCAGTTCCATTTTCTTGACGATTGTTTCCTTCGGAGTTAGCCGAATCCATAACGAAAAGTATAACTAACTCAGATCTTGATCGGGAAAAACGGTTTATTGAAGAAAGGAATGAATGTGGTGTGAGAGTTGAATTGAGTTGTAGTTTGAGGAAACAAATAGAATGGAATGAGAATTGGAATTTTAATTTGGAAAGTAAAAGCGGTTTATTGTTATGTTAGTTGAAAAATGGAATGAATGAGTGAAACAAAGTAGGACTATATTTTTATTACATTAGCTAGCTATATTAGAAGGCTTATACAACATTAGATACACTTTAATTTGGTTTAAAGTTTCAAATCGATTCATTTAATAAAAAAAAATAGATTTTTTCATATTTAAAAAAATGATTTTTATGAGTTTTATTAAAAAAATATAAAAAGTTTTTCATACATTTTTTATATATTAAAAGAAGTAAACATTAACATCCAATATTTTGCACTGTTAAAATTAAATAACTTTTTTAAAAAATGAACTTAAAAAATGTTTTTTTATGAAAACTACTCAAAATAATTTCAAATTTAAGTAAAATTTTAAAATTTTGATATTAAAAAAGATAGTGAAAAAAAGAAATACAGTATTCAAATCAAATTTTTGAATATTTTTCTTTCAAATAGTCATGTTTTTTTTTTAATTTAATACCCAAATAACCAACATTTCAAATTATCGACCAAAATACTTATTTTTCAAACAAAAAAAATCGCACATAAGACGTTGGCAATGCCGCATGCACTCAAAATTGACTTCAGCGCCACCTTGATTGGTGCATGCATTATGAACATGTCAATGTCAATGACGCATGCATTGTTGCCCTAAGAGGATGCACCATTCCCTCTAGCGTATGCATGTTGGCCTAAGAAGAGGCGCCCTTCCCCCTGGCGCTTATGTTGTACTATTTTTTTTTTTAATAAATAGGTCACTCATTCTCCATCATTTTGATATCCATCTTCTCATTTCATTCTTAAATTTGTCTTCAAAATGTCTTATATCATTAAAAGAAATGCTAATCATTTTTATTTGCCAGTAAAGGTTCTGATGAAGATCCGACTTTGTAACACTGAGACTTCAAGCATCTTGCAAGGAGCTTGGTCTGTTGGCTAGACGGAGACATTGAAGACTATGGAAAGTTTAGAAGAATTGAAAGGCTTGTTACGGTGTTCAATAATAATGGAGTACATCGTGTGTGGGAGTCAGTTAAAACTGATGGTGATTGTCGTGTTATGATGCATGGTTAAGATGATATTGTCCTGATGGTTGTAATCTCCTAGATATCGTTGTGTTTAGTCGTTTTATTTGTTTTACGTGTTGTTGTTTTATGTGTGCTTTTGTTTGCTTTGCTATAACTGAAAGTTGTACTCAATATGAAATGAGCGTTGTATTTTTCATACCCCAAATTTGTATTACCCTTTGATTCAAATCATATGGCTTGCGTATATCATATTCCTCATGCATATACTGTCCATTAAGTCATTTAACACATCATGCATTCATTAACAACAAACTTGGTTTATTGGATCAATAATCAGAGAGAATCAGGGTTTCTCATGGCAATTAGGGTTTCACTCTTTTGCAGGTTTGTTTCACTTGAAGATGCAAAGACTAGGGATTAGGGTTTGTCCCTCTATGCTTATGGATATCAGCTGGATTCTTAGGGTTCGATTATGCAATCATCAAGAGCTTCTTCTGGTGCTCATAATCATCAGTGATTAGGGTTTATTTCCCTTATCACATGACTTTCAAAAAGAGATTGGATCAAACATTTAAGACATTAGTACAAGAAGGTTGGGAATCAAGCATAAGAGATCGTGTGGCATTAGATTTGAGATGTCCATCTGTGAAATTCTAATCTCTGGTTTATAACTTTGATCATTATGGGCTATATCATGGGTTTGATTAGATTTGTTTGCTACTTACAAATAGGCTTTGGCATACCCAAGTTCCTTGGATGTTCAAGTTCAAGGTCATGGAGTACAAGATCCTACTCCATTCAAGATCATGTTCAAACTCAAGATCTGGGAGTGCAAGGTCATGTGTTCATTCAAATTCCAAAACCACTTTTTCCATTTTCTAATATCCATTACTAAAGTTCATCCATTCAAAACCCATTTAAATTCAAAAATCATTTCCTAAAGCCCACGTCCATTTTTCCAATTCAATCATCCAATTCTACATCCAAATCCAATCTCATATTCATTTCCGAAGTCCATGCCCGTTTTTAAATCCATTTTTAAATCCATATACTTTTTTTAATCCATATTCAATATCAATTCAAATATCCATATCCGAATTCTACATTCTGTAAACCAAACCCACAAATGCAATATCAAATTCAAAAGCCCAATTCCAAATCCAAAATTTCAAATCCAATTCCAAAATCCAAATTTCAAGATCAATTATAAAATTCAAAATTCTACAACGAGTTGTCCAAAACCAAAATTCTACAACAAGTGGTCCAAAACCAAAATTCTACTTATCCAAAAAACAAACTCTAAACCAAGTTATCCCATTTTTAAAACAGTACAAAAACAAAAAGAAAGTTTCCAAAGCTCATTTCGATCCCACGAAATTTCTTCTTCATCATCACCATCCTTGCGCTCATTTATATATGCATCTTCATATGAATCATTCGCCAAGCCTATACACACCCTTAGCACCATCTCTGCTGCCATATATTTGACCGACACCACAGTGAACATGAAAATAAAAGTTATAGAAGCCACAAATTTCAAAAAGGGAGATTCAATACAAATTGCAATGCAAAACAAAGAAACTGCGGCAACGATGTTATTCAAACGACAAATTGCAATGCAAAGGCTAGAACTACAAGCTAAATTCACAACAGCGCAAGCCATTTCAGAAGTGTGAAGATGAAGAAGAATTGCATAGAGAGAGAAGCAAAACAATAACAACACAGAGCAGAGAAGAACGAGGAAGGAGGAATGAGTGCGTGCCTGCAAAATCGACATCGACTCGGTAAGTGTCTGCTTCGAGCTAAGTTATTTGCGCATTCCACCAATTTTATGCCTTAATATGAATTAATGCAAACTGGAATCAAAACTTTGTGATCGAATCGAAATCAAAACATCAAATTTAAGTCGAAAGCTGAACCAAAAACCGTGTGGAACCGAAACCAGAATTCGAATTGGAATGAAATTAGGAATCAAAATCATTCTGAATCGAGTTACTGCTTATCAGTTATGAGTTGAAACCAAGCCAAACCGAAGCAAGATCCGTTCCAATTCATATCATGAAACTGAGCCTTAACTACGAAATGAAACACAATGCTCGTCTCCACCTGAAATCATTCCAATTTCGAATCGAAAATCTCCAGGAAATCTTTCTAGCAAAGAGGCTTTTGGTAGGCGGATGATACCTTGTGTTATTCCATGATCGTGGTTCTCATTCATTTTCCTCTATTCTATTTTCCCACGTGGCCGCATTTGATCTGAGCTTTCTAAAGTGGTATTTGTCGTTTACTAGTTGGAATATGTCAGACCAACTAACAGGGGCCTACGACCTAGTCTACATAAGCCTAGGGCAGACTAGACTTTTTCTTAAATAAAAAAGGTCTAGATTTTCTTATAAGCCTATTTAATTAAAAAGGCTAAGTCACAGGCCGTAAGAAAAACCTTTTAAGTCCATCAGGTCGATATATTTATAAAAAATTAATAAATTTATTATTATTATATTGTATTTTGTACTTTGAATTAAAATAAAAAACAAAACTTATTTATTTTTAACAACTTATGAAAATAAGTTAAAAACACATTATAAACAGTGTTATAAAATTTTTTCTTCATAAGTTCTGTCCAACAAATAATACCATCAAACTTATGCTAATAGGTAAACTTGAATGAGACAATGAAAACAAATATTTAGTCTTAATGATCTTTTAGTTTGTTAGTCTATTTAACATTAGTTGAATTTCTTATTTACAAACGTTCAAATGAAGTAGGCTTTTAAATATGTTGGTAGGTCAATCAGGCCTTCGAAAAAGTCAAACTTAGGCCTAAAAATAAGCCTATGATAGGCTACAAGTCAGACTTTGAATTTTTTAGCAGGCTAGACTCACACTTGGCAAAGTCTAGCTCGACTCAGTCTATTTTCACCCCTACTTACCACATTTTTAAGTCACATGTCTTGCTGCAACATTCAACTTCCCTTGTTAGCTTGTTGTGGGTTGGGCTAAGGCCCGTGATCTTCACTACACACCCTTCAATGCCACATACGCCCCATTTGATTTCTCTTTCTCTCTTTTATCTTATTTTTTTTGCTCATTTTTTTAATAGAATTTTGTCATCTTTATATATTTCATTTTATGTTATTATTTTTTATATGATTTTTTGTTCAATTCTTTATTGAATTTTTGTTGAACTCTTGATATGATTTTTTGTTCAATTCTAGATTGAATTTTTGTTGAACTCTTGATATGATTATTTTTCAATTTTTGATTGATTTCTTGTTGAATTCTTGATATGATTTTTCGTTCAATTCTTGATTAATTTTTTGTTGAATTCTTGATGTAATTTTTTGTTCAATTCTTGATTGAAGTTTTGTTGGATTGTTGATTGATTTGTTACTATCATTCTTGTTGAATTTTAGTACTATTACTTAGATGATATTTTATGTTATTTTTGTTAATGTTTTGTGTCATTATCTTGACATAACTGTTAGAACACATATTGGTGTTTAATATATCTCATTGTTTTGATGATAACATTAATGAAATTTTGCATAAAAGAAATATATACTCTAATTTTGTTCAAGTGTTTATTTGTTTCAGATATCAAAATTAATATTATTCTAGAAGCAAGAACGCCTCTGAACACTACATAATGATAAAGCTCTGAACGTCAGAAGCAACACATCAGAAGACTCTGATCTGCTACAGTGACTATGAGCGAAGCTGAGAAGAACCTGAGTAAAGAACATACGTAAAGCTTCAGAAGACTCTGGAAGTACTTAATGCTGCAAGTACAGAAGCTCTGATAAGCTAGTCTGTTCTGATAAAGA